TCAGGCCAGGAATAAGGAATTCCTCACAAAAGGAATAAGCAAGTTATGACTGAGCCCCTACCACCATAGACCATGGCACCATACACTTCACCTTAATAAGAAATGAGCCCAGGACAAGAAAAACTTGCTTATAATTTTTTGCTACCCTTTTATCATCCTTTTCCCTGATTCACTACAACTGCTCTAGGCTCATGTGTTTGCATTTCTGCATAGGTCCTTCTCTATTGATTCTCACGTAGAACTTGTACTATAATTCCACAAAAGCAGATGGGGACTTCCAAAGACAAAGTTTCCAGAAGGGTGCAAAGCAGGGGCATTAATTTATTAATTTATGATCCACAGTCACTTAAGGAAAAGCAAGCTATAAAGTTCCACTCTACTTTAAAGGAAGGCCAGCATTCCACAACAGAGGCAACAGGGATTTATCTCAAACTATGAGTCCACTGACTGCTTTCTAACCACTGCCAGAAAGAAGGGCCACCGACATACCTACCATTCTGGAAACAATATCTTTATTTTCCCGAATTACAACTGACTGATTTGAAAAGATACCACTTTCAGTGACTTAGTGAAATTCCTCAGGGTATCTCAGAAGCTACAGCAGGAAGCAGCATTCCTAAACAGTAGACCTGCTGTAGGTGTCTGATGAAGACTCTTTTGGCCATGGTGTGCCCGTTTCATTTGCTTTGGAAATTCTCAGGCTAAGTCACCCTACCCTTGCTATATGAGGCAGAACAGCAGTGAGTCTGCCAGCCACTGCTCTAGTGCTGGGACACATCTGAAGAAACATCTCATGAGAAATTGGCCACTGCTTTGGCCTGTCTTGGATTGTGGCTGCAATCATCCCTGGGTGGCAGGTGTCTTGATACGCACCTCCTTTTTGTAGAAAGATGTTAACCTATGTGATGGTTAATTTTACGAGTCAACTTGACTGCAATAGAGTACCCAAAGTAAACATTATGTCTTGGTGTGTCTGTGAGGGTATCTCTGGATGAGCGCTTGAATGAGTGGACTCAGTGAAGCAGATGGCCCTCCCCAGCGTGGGTAGGTACCATCCAGTCTTTGCAAGAACAGAACAGAAAAGCAGGGGAAGAAGAGTTTTCCCCTTTTGCTTCCTCCCTGCCTGCTTGAATTGGAACAATGGTCTTCTCCTGGCCTTGAACTGGAATTACACCCCTGGTTTCCTGGGTCTCCAGCTCACAGAAGGCAGATCATGAGACTTCTCAGATTCCAGAGTCAAGTGAGCCAATTCCTTAAACTAAGTCTTTTCCTTCCATATTGAAAAGGACTTACTATATATGGAAGGAAAATGCTTCTTATGGATGGAAGTGTATCCATGTATAAGGAAACACTCATTAAGGAAAATAACTTATTATATATATATATCAATAAACATAATATATATACTTACATATAAAATAAGTATTTTCCTTAATATATTTTAAAATATATATATTTTAAAATATATTTAAAAAATAAATTTTCTTTAATAAGTGCTATATAAGTATAATTATGTATAAAATATATTTATAATTATATAATTATATTTTATACATAATATTGTTATATAACACTTTATCATATGTTATATATATGAAAATATATAAAATTTTACACACACAACACACAAAGACACACACAAACACACCGCTCCTCTGCACATAAGCCTGGACTTAACTAGCAACACAGGCAGTTGTCAGAGAGCACTGTATAAACTGCATGTCTCCCAAAATTTTATGAAATGCAGATGAGAGAGACAATATTTAGGGAAATTTCCTTGGAAAAAATAGTTACTAAATCTATTCACTTGCCAGATATGTTTCAAGTGCCCCAGGATGGAGACGGATTGGCAGAGAGCGGGGGACTCTGCCATATTCTCTTGCCCGCCTCACCCCTCTCTCCCCCTTCTCCTCCCCAGACTGCTTTCTCACAGCCATCATTATGTGAAACAGGCCTATGAAACTCACTTGCACGCCCTCAATAAGACTGCGGTGGGGAACACTGTTCATTGCATCACACAGTGTTTTCTTTACAGGGACTCCTGGGAACAATTCCTGTCTGGCTTCTGTGTGAACAACGGTTAGAATTTTCCTGAGCAATTGTTTTTTGTTTATCTCACAGACATTGTGAACTGTGTATCCAACAAGTTTTCTTTATTCCACTGGTGGCTACAATGCTGCAGTCTCCGTCTGTGAACCATCAGTTAGAAAACAGTGAGCAGGAATGCGGTTTCCACATTATTATCTGCTCTGTGTACCTTCTCCTTCTATCTGGTGTCGTCTCACTTTTAATTTATAATATCTTCTCATGTTTTACGTCCCGTTGTAAGCCACCTAAAAGACGTTTTGTGAAATAAGATTTGGTTTACATTGAAAAGCAGATAAGATGTGGAAGAGCTCCATGTCATGTGTTTCCATCTGTTTTCCTCAAATATTCAATTATGATCTCCTTTAACATTCTCCCACTGACAGACCCAAGGTTCAGGGCATGCAACTCAGAACTGCCGCAATAACAATCGTAAAACAATTGGAAGACCCAAACAAAGTTGCTGAAAATATTGTGATGATCCTGCCTCACTGCCATGACCCAGCTGAGGCAATGCCATTGAAATTGCACAGCTTCTTGGTGGCCAAATACGCTGTAACACTAGTTGTAATGAAAAGAGTAAGTAACACTACTGAATACTCAGGTGACATGTGGAGGTTTCTTGCGCTCTCCTGTGGTCTATATGCAACTCTGGGAAGCAGAAAGGGCAAGTATTTCACTCTCCTGTGCTGCGATTTGCACTTTGCTGTGCTGCTAAGCGGCATGGAGGAACAGCTGGCCCCTAAATGGGCTCTTTCTGCCCAAGGATTTTCTAACTACAGGAAATGGCTTAAATCCAAGAAGAAAAGTGACAACATGAACTTCCAGCAAAGTGTATGGAGAGACAGCTAGGCAAATGAATACATGAAAATATGTTCCGCATCATCTGTCCTCAGAGAAATGTAAATTAAAACTACAATGGGCTCCCATTACACACGTATTCAAGTGCCAAAATTAAAAAGACTGATCATATTGAGTGCTGGTGAAGATACGGAGCAACTAGAACTTCCATTGACTGCGTGTAGGAAGGTAAAATGGTACAACCATTTTCTCAAACAGCTCATTGTTCTTCAAAGTAAAACATACATCTACCTGATGATCCTGCTATTCCACTTCTAATTCATTTTCATACCCAGGAGAAATGAAAGAATATGTCTCTACAAAGACTCACACATGCTTGCTCACAGTAACTTCTTTGTAATAGCCAGAAACTGCCAACAACCCAACAGGTATCTATCAACAGGTAGATGGATAAACAAATAGTACTATATCCATTCCTATGAAATATTTCCCCACAACAAAATAATAAATATTGTTATACACAACAACATAAGTAATCCTCAGAATAATTATGTTGTAGGAGAGAAGGGTACATGCTGCATGCTTCCATTTATATAAAATTCTAGAACATGCAAGCTAATGGATACTGTGAGAAAGCAGATTGATGGTTGCCTGTGACAGATGGGGATGGCGAGGTCAGGAGGAAGTGAACACACATGGGGACAGAACTTTGGATGTCATGCACACACTCAATATCTTGATTGTGGTAATAGTTTCACATGTAAACATATCAAAGCTTACCAAATTTTGAATACTTTAAATATCACATCTCAATTATACCTCAATAAAGCTATTTAGAAATAATTTTTTTTGAACGAGTTTTGCTCTTGTTGTCCAGGCTGGAGTGCAGTGGTTCGATCTTGACTCACTCACTACAACCTCCATCTCCTGGGTTCAAACGATTCTCCTGCCTCAGCCTCCCAAGTAGCTGGGATTATAGGCACCCACCACACCCAGCTAATTTTTGTACAGAAATATTTTTTTTAATGTCAAATAACCACAGCCACACGTAGTCAGTCATTCCTGCACTGAACAGCACAGCTCCCACTTCTGTGCTGCTCCAAAAACTTGCTATTTGTGTTAGTATTAATAGAAGTATGCTAATGCTATTATAACAAGTGATGTTTTAGTTCTGTGTGTTGCCCTCTGTCTCTAACCCCCACTCAAAGAGATCCTTTCTCATCTTCCTTGGAAGGTACCATCAATGAGTAGAAATAATAGGAAGACAAATTCAAGCTTAAAACACTTCCCTGATGGACATTACTAATGGATTTATTTAACCAAAGAATAGACAGATTGCTCGTTTTAGTGAAAAATTCCCATAAAGAGTGACTCTAATTTCACCCAGATGTACTAGTGAATCACTGGATATCCAGTCAAGATTACATGAGACCACATACCCAGAACCTAAGATATTCCATTTGCCTTAGTCCTAGTAATCTGCGATTAAAAGACAAAGTTTGTTAGAGGGTAGTTGGAAAATGTCATAGTTACAAATTCTGGAACTTTTAGCTTTTGGTCTGTTTCTGCATCTAAAAAATGACTGTACCAATGCCTGCCTAAGGTTCAACAAGATCACAGATGCAGGGCAATGTAAAAGGAACAGAAGTACTTAAAAAATATCCCTTCCCCTTACCCACCAAACCCTTCATCACAGCACACACTTTCTTCCCTTATCAAGGGATAAGACAGCATTGTTAGCCCAAGCTACCGTATTTTGTAAACCCCTGCCATTTTGCAAATGCTGGTTAGAGCAGAAAATTCCACCAGGGCTCAGGCCATGAGACACATCCTGCCAGACAAGTCGCGGGCCTAACCACCTGACCCCAGGAAACTCTCCCTTATCAGCAGCTAACCATACCACCCACCCCATCTCACAACAAGCCCAGACCTCTCCCACCCAGACCTATAGTTATTCCAGTTTGTAAGCAGGGGTGGGCTCCGGTGCTAGCTGGTGTTCCCCTCTACAGGGTTTTGTTCAATATACTTGTGTTGCCATAGAGCTGCTTCTTTCCTTTCCTTCTTTTCCCTTTCTCATCCTAACAAGTACGAGCAGAGGCTTCTCTCATGCTTACCTGGAGCCAAAGCTTGTCATGCTGAGACCACTTTCCACCGGCAATGCACTGAAATGTGGCATTCTGCCCCACATTCACCTCCACATTTTGGAGTCTCAGAAAATGAGGTGCTTTTCCTAAGAGAGAAACGAAAGAACACATGAGAAGGAGACTCAACAACCTGCACCACTTCCCTACTGGTGGATGGCAGCTCAGAATGGGCACCGGGCAGGGTGGAACTGGTGCTTGAGAAGTGGCCCAGCTCAGTGAAGAGTTCATTAGTCATTCATTATGAGTCTGGCACTGTTTGAAGAACTTTACGTATAGTATCTCACTGAAACCTCACAAAAATACATGAAATGGGCAGTATTTCCATTTCACACATCAGAAAGTTAAGGCTCCGAGCGGTTACATCATCACTGGACACAGTCACACATCCAGAGGGTGAGGGAACCAGGACGTGAATTTAGAACTCTGTATCCTATTACCAGCTGCTATGCAATATTGCTCTGTGAAATTGGCACAAACATGCCTAGAATACACCCAAATTAATCATGGCTTCTGGGACTGGCATTGCACAAAAGGTGAAACTGTGACACCGAACATTAGAAAGAAGAAAAACTGGAGGCAGGGAGGGGTGTAGATATTCACCATAGGTGATGCTTCCCTGTAGCCTGTACAAGCAAAGAGAGAGAGCTGATGTGAAGCACCTCTGTGCCTGAGACCTGCACACTTGGCCTTGGTGATAATGCTAATGAGGAAGATGATGAGAAAGACAGAGTGGAGGAGGAAGGAAAGAGAAGGAAAGCACTAGTAGCTGTCATTCTTAGCACTTGCTATGTGATCATTACCACGTACAATGTCTCTATGCAGGAACTCACTTAACCCAATGCAGTCAGTAGTGGTATTTTCTCTACTTCACAGTGAATGAACTGAGGCAGAGAGAACTCTAGAAATGTGCCCAATGTCACAAGACCCCAGAGTCTTACTCTGCGATGTGCTTTTTTTTTTTTTGAGCATGAGTGGGGAGCATTGATTCCAGGGACTGGATATAACAGGGAAAAGATCTTTCAAATGAAAATCAGAGTGTGTGTGAGCAGACAATCTTAGGATTAAGTCTATGTTTTATATTGGATAACCTGGGTTCATCTGTTTCCGTTTTTCTGTGGAGAAGGGTCCTCACCCACCTGCACTCTAGAAATAATAACGTCAATAATAGCTCTCCATAGGCTGATAGCTTATATCTAGAAGAATTAGTTTCTTCACTGAGGCACAATGAAGGATCTCCATGCCATCAATCGAATCGGTGATGAACTGGTATCACCCCTGGGGTGGAAACAAATGGGGAATTAGGAGAGGCTCAAGGAGGTTTATCAGGAGGGTTTGGCCATCTTTCTTTCTTTTTTTTTTTTTTTTTTTTTTTTTTTTTTTTTTTTTTTTTTTTTTTGAGACAGCGTCTCACTCTGTCACTAGGCTGGAGTGCAGTGGCACTGTCCCAGCTCACTGCAACTTCCACCTCCTGGGTTCAAGTGATTCTCCTGCCTTAGCCTCCCAAGTAGCTGGGACTGCAGATGTGCGCCACCACACCCAGCTAATTTTTGTATTTTTAGTAGGGATGGAATTTCACTATGTTGACCAGGATGGTCTCGATCTCTCAACCTCGTGATCTGCCTGCCTCAGCCTCCCAAAGTGCTGGGATTACAGGTGTGAGCCACCATACCCAGCTGATTTTGGCCATCATTCTAGAGGGAGTCAAATACACAGAGAGACAAATAGCAACAATAATGCCATTTACTGAGCGCTCCTACAGTGCCGGGTACTATGAGAAATGCTTTGCATGTTCTATCTAATCTAACTTCATGACATTCCTATAAGGCAGACACTATTATGATTTCCCTGTTAGGCAGAAATCAAGGCTCAACAAGTTTAATATACCCAAAGCTACCTAGCTCTAGTGAAAGACAGAAACACAATTCAATCCAGGTCCACTTTAGCCCCCAACTCAGCATTTAACATGCAGCTATGCTCCCTTGCCTACTGGACACTGGGAATAAGGATGGTGTCTCCAGACAGACTCCAGGGTCTGCAGAAGGGGCTCCCAGACAGGGCTGTGCTGATGGTTCAGGTCCCTCTCAATGCTCCCAAATAGTTATATTACATGTGACCCCTTTCCTAGCTATTTTTCCTTGATTTGAACTATTTTGTCTACTAATCTGTGTCATCACCTGTAAAGCTCAGCAAAAGCCAAGAATCTCGGAGCAATTAGGCAGACTTATTGGGAGAACACTGGGCAGGGTGGAATTGGTGCTTCAGAAGTGGCCTGGCTCAGTGAAGAGTTCATTGATCACTTATGATGAGTCTGGCACTGCTCGAAGAACTTTACACATAGCATCTCACTGAAACTTCAAAGAATAATCCAGGAAGTGGGCAGTATCCCCACTTTCCCAATGTGCTTTTGCTCAAGTTTTAAACTAATGAAGAACAGCTCCAAGATCCCTCATGCTACCTTTGAGCCGCCATGCTGGAAGACTGTCAAGGACCCAAGGCCCAGGGAAAACCACTTCGATGGGCTTCTCAGAGTCGAAAATTCCTCCATCTAGTCAACTTGACAAATGTCACGCTGCTTTGATTGTCTGAAATTGTTTTCTTTTGGCTCTCCTGTGTAATTTTGTGAAGTTATTTTTGGATTGAAGTGGGAATAGAGTGAACCTTGTAAGTTCGTCCATGCCACAGGTTTAAAGGGGGAGTGAACGCATCAACCCCGGGTGGGGAGGGAGTACAGAGTCTTAGCTCCAATGCCAGGAAACTCTGTGTTTGTTTTTACAAAGAAATGCCCTTCCCTTACGCTTTGAGAAAATGGTTTAACCTCTGGGATGTGTACAATTAGCAATGAATCTTCTCTGCATCAACGTCCCCAGCGTGCCTGCCTCTGACTCCTCTCCACTTCCTCCTTCTCAGCAATAGAACTTTTGCCTTGATTCTTTCATTTTCAATTTCCCTTCTTCCCTCCCTTCTAGGTTCAGTGGTAGAGAGTTGAGATGTTTAATGATCCTTAGTGTGAATATTCTACGGAAACACTGGCAATTTACAGCAGAGATACTGAACGCATGCACCTACAAGAGCCAGTTATGTAAATTAATAACATCGTTCAGCTGTAAAACAAAACAAAACAAAAAATACTACCTCCTTGGCCCATCTTTTATTTTCTCACTTTTGATAGAGAGTTAAGAAACATAAAGATGTCTTTACATAAGAGAAGCAATGTTGCAAGCACAACAACAACTGGTATCCACCACTAGCCTTAGCACTGGGGAGACACTAAGGAGTGGTGAGGATTGGAGGGAACTGGAGAGAGACACTGTGTCCCACTGAAAGTGGGCAACTACGACTTAAATTCAGCAGAGGAAGGCCAGGCATGCACGCTTTATATGGGGGTGTCAAACATTTGATTTCACAAGGCAAATAAGAAATCCAAACTTTATATGAAATCTCTCACTCTAACCTCAACATGCTGTTAAAACACAATACAGACTTAACAAAACAGGTGGGGAGGCCGGCTCTATCAATCTGTGGTCTCTGTTCTTATGTAAGTCATCTGCAACAATTCCACTAGCCAGGCTTACCTGATCCAGCCCCATAAATTCAGGGCCTCCCCCACAACTCTACGCAGTACGCAGTGGGCATCACACGAAGGCCAGCCCTGATGGCAGTTCCCAGCACAGAAGCTGATCTAGACCACCCTCTTCTTGCTCAGGACCCTTGTCTCTGCTCCTTGAGGCTCTGGGTCAACTTTGGCTCATTAAAGACAGCACTCTCCAGGGATTGTGCTTATGTGGGGGGCCTTTGGTCCTCTTCTCTACATTCCTGGCCTCTCTGATCCCCCTTTTCCCATGTCCCCACACAGCCTGCTCATCAGCCACAGCTTCTCTCAACTGCCACCTTCCCCAGCATCTGCTGCTCTGGGAGAGAATTTATATTCCATGGACTTCAACTCACCCACCTTCAGCCAATACGATTGACACCCAGGTCAGCCATCAGCTCGTGGTGCTAAGCACTTCCTACTTTCTCCGCACTGAGACCCAATTCCCCGCAAACAGGATGCCACTGAATGGGCTTAACAGAAGACTGGCTGTGCATTTGGGGCAAAAATGCCTTGACGCTGGTGACATTTAGACTCCTGCAGATGTCAGTACAGCATCCAAAGACATATTATTGTGCTCTTTATCCTGCTCTTTAAACCTGACAGGGCTCAGTAGGAAGCCAGGCAATTGTGCAGAAAGCCCCGGTACACACATTAGAAACGTGTTGCAGTTGCTCTGTGGGCTCAGGGACATGGCCCCGCGAGATTGTGATGGGGAAAAAAAAGTTTTAAACAATTCTAAAAGTCAACTTAGAAGCTAGGAACTTTGAAATGGAGAGGAAAAATCATCCTGACATTTATCGTACGCAGTTATAAATGCAGTGGCCCTGCTAATGGCTAGCACTGAGAAACAGCAGCGGAGGGTAACTAAGGCTAGAATACTTTTAGAATAACACAAAAATGTTAAATGGGCTATACAATATAGATGAGAGGTTTCAGTTTGTTAAAAAAAAAAATTCCTTTGAGCATTATGCCTGTCTTCTGGTTACCGTTTTGGGAGCTTCCAGACAATTATCTACTGTCCTAATCTCAGTGCCAGTCAACTGACGATACAATTGCAAATGTTTCGCTTGCTCCCTGGAACTTCTGGAATATTTAGTGGAATCATTTATTGATAAACTCTGGTCATATGTTAATAGCAAATATGTTTGGAGGGCAGAAGGGGAGAATTAAAAAGCCTTTGTGTCCATAGGTTTTTTTGAATTGAATGCATATATTTCAATATAGTTAAATTTTTAACCATCTATAAGTAAAGTCATTAATTAATTAATTCTAAGACTGGAGGTCTAGGAAAAACCACCTTTAGTCTTAAGGAGAGTTCAGAAGCTACTATCCAGTTGCATGACAGGTAACCCTTGTAAGTAGCCTCTGGGGCCCATAGTTGGCTTCTCCCAAGGCAGCCTGCCCTTCCCACGATCACAAGACCTTGCTTAAGCTAGAAATCTGGGAGTGAGCCATCTCTGAAGCCTGACTCCTAATCCAGTCCATCAAATAAGACCAGTTGGCTCTGCCTCCTAATAGATCTCTAATCTGTGCACCTCTATCCACCTCTTTCTCTACGTTTATTCATAGCCCTGCTTATCATTTGTCATGGGCTGAACTGTGCCTCCTCCAAATTAATCTTTTGATATATGACCCTAAACCCCAATACCTCAAATGTTCCTATATTTAGCCATAGGGCCTTTAAAGAGGCAATTAAGTTAAAATAAGGCCTTTAGGGAAGGCCCTAATCCAATCCAATCTGACCAGTATTTTCAAAAGAGGAGGACATTTGAATACACAGAGGTATGCCAAGGGACTACGAGTACAGAGGAACGACCATGTGAGGCCACAGCAAGAAGCCAGCCACCTGCAAAGACGCCTCAGGAGAAACCATCACTGCCAACACCTTGATCTTGGACTGCCAGCCTTCAGAACTGTGAGAAAATTAAATGCATTTAAGTTGCTTAAGCCACCAAGTCTGCAGCATTTTGTTAGGGAAGCTTTAGCAGACTAGTGCACTGTCTGTGCATATAATTATAAAATTACATTATATAATTATAATTTTATATATTATATATAAATGTAAATTATAAAAGATCAATTATATAATGTTATATAATTATTAATCTATTATAATTTATATATCATAATTATTTATGTAATATAATTTGCATTTATAAAATGTATATTTCTATTCTATATTATATACTTGGAAAATAATTATATATAATTATATGATTATAATAATATAATCATACAATTATTTGTTTTGTTTTCAGTCTCCTTCACTTCAATAGAAGTCCATGAAGACAGAGAGTCAATCTGTCTCACTCCCACAAATCCAGAATGGTGCCTGGCATGGAAGCCATGTTCAGCAAATACTTGTTGGATGATGAATGGATGTCTCTCAACCACCCTGATGCTGACCACGACCACCTCTTGCACGGCTCCAGAACTTTCTTCCTCCTAGGTCTCCCAACATCTTCTCTATGGTTCTTCAACACAGAGCAGCCCATGTGACCATTCTCCAGCATCACTCTGTGCACAGAGCCTCCCTGCACTTAGACAAACATTTAAACTACTCACAATGATGCCCAAGGCTCAGACTTCTCTGTCCCACATTTGCCCGGCCACTCTCTCCTGTGCTCCTTTTGCTCAGGACATGCTGGCAGCATCAGGATGACTCCCCATGCAGGACCTCTGCAACCGCTGTCTCCTCTGTCTGAAGCATCCCTTCCCTAAAACACTATACGGTGAATTCCTTCCTGTGATTTGAGTATCAGCTCAGATCACATTTTCAAAGATATCTCCCTTGACCACTATATCCAAGAAGCCTGCCCATATCCCAGAAGCTCGCACTGAGGATATCCACAGGACTTTTCACTATCTGAAATTTTTGGTTAATTAATATTAGTGACTGATGTAGTGCCTTTCTTTCCATTGGCCCTCCTGCTAATCAAACACCATGAGAACAAGGACCTAACCTCTTTTAGTCACTGAAGTATCTATCGTTGTGCCTAGGAAAGTTCTTAACACACAGCTGATGTACAATAATTCACCTGCTGAAAGAAAGAATGAATAAAATCTGGGCAAGGTATGGACTAAGCACTGGTCCTTAGGAAAGGGACTTTTTTAGGCCCTTCTCAACTCCACATGATTAATGAGCTGTGGATATACCTCAGGTATTATGTATACTGCCAGTATCTGTCCATATAGTTAAATGAAAATTTTTTCCAATTCCAGCCTCTCCTGTGGGGTCTTCACATGTGGTTTCTGGGAAGTTTATGCTTAAGCTGCTCCAACAATGAGGCTGAGCCCAATAAAAGCACATTATGCAGGAAATAAAGCCAGGATCACGTCTTCCTGAGTTACAGCCCATGGTCCATTTGCTGGGTAACTGGCTCTCAGCAATTTCATAACCATGAAATCCACACCCCCTCTGCAGGAGGATGATGAGGTTGTCAGGAGAATCCTAACTTCAGGAACCACCCCATTGAAAGGAGGATTTCAAGAAGATTCATGAGACTTTGGGGGTGGAAAGCTATTCTAGTACCCTCCAGAGAACCCACTCCTGTGGAGATTTATCAAAGAGAAGGACACATTTGCTTGTGATAGCAAACCATGGTGTGTGCTTGGAGGTAAGGCAGAGCTTTTACCACTCTGGGTTTGAAGGTAGTTGAGGCTAGGGTAAGAGACAGGTGTCAAGGTTGGGCATCAGGATGGAGGTCAAAATTCCCATTAGAGCACAAAGTTCTAGGGCCCAGGTAAAGACACCCATGCTATCTTTCCTGGGGAAAATCCAGCTGTCACCCACTAGAAAGACAAAAGTCCAAACATCCAGCACAAGGTAAGAAGCAGAAACACAGGTAGATGTGGCAGAGGCAAGCACACTCTGAGTGGACAGGATGTAGGCAGGGCTTGAGGAAGACAGAAGGGAGGTTTCAGAGAGACTGCCTCAAAACTGGAGGTGGTGCAAGGTTGAATGCATGCTGTTAAATGGACCACAGGTAGCACAGACATCCCCCAACACAGCTGCCCAGTCTTAGGCCAAAGATCATTCTCCAGTGGAACAGCTGATGCTGACTCCCAGGAGTACAGGGAGGGGAATATTTCATCCTAGTGAAGGAGATTTATATGCATATCTACTACATAAACCCTGCATAGCTGGGTATGGAGGAGTGGCACGCCTTTGAGGACTCTTGACGCTATACCATAAGCACTAACCACTATGAGAAATCTCTCTCTGTGCCTACATGGAGCTGATGAGTGTATTTAAAATTATTTCAAAAGAATGAATCGCTTTGGGGTACTTTTCACTTGCAGGGAAAAGTATGGAAAACTGTACCATAGCCCAAAGCATGACTCATGGCCATATGGGAGGAGTGGAGGGAGCCCACAGGGCATTACCTAGAACTGGATGGCTGCTGAGAAACTACTGGGAATCTCCAATCTGCAGAACGCTGACAAACTTGTGGGACCGGCATCTCAGCTACCCCGCCCAGGGGCTGCTATAATCTCCATGCAAATCAGTTTGATTTCAGTCTCCCCAACCAAATGTCACTGGGTATGATGTCATCTCAACTACCTGTACCCAGGACTTATGGCCTCTGAGATTTTGCAAAGCCAGAAACCACATCTCCCTGCTGAAACACATTCAAATATCTGAGACTAAACATGGCAAAGAAGTGGATGGGTATGGAGGAGTGGCACGCCTTTGAGGACTCTTGACGCTGTACCATAAGTACTAACCACTATGAGAAATCTCTCTCTATGCCTACATGGAGCTGATGAGTGTATTTAAAATTATTTTGAAAGAATTAATCGCTTTGGGGTACTTTTCCCTGTGAGTGAACAGTGTGCTAATTTGCTCAGTGTTTTAGTGGTGTTCTTTTTTTTTTTTTTTTTAAGACAATTGCACAAGATTCAAACCAAAGCCCTCTAATTCTTCCACTTCAGTGGTCTGAATCCCACTAATAAACAATCAGGACTTTAGACTCCCTTAATAATGGAGAGAGATTCAAAAGAAGATGTTTTGCCACTCTCTGCAAATTCCTGGAGGTGCTGCCTGTTGAACAGGCCGGCAAAATTATGGATTTATTCAGGACTGATTGCCTTGAGTATGTAAGCATTTCTGAAGGATTAAAAGAGAGAGAGAGAGAGAGATAGGAGAGAGAGAGAGATGTTTGTGAGCTGAATGAATGGAGAGGATTGCAGGCTTTATGCTGCCTAGTCTGGCGTGGATCAAGGCTGTACTGGGAGGAAGGGACAGACTTACTGCACGGATGAGCAAGGACCCGGACCTCGTCCACGGCGATGTAGCCAGGATGACCCTTCAAAGAGACGGATTCAAATATCACCTGCAACACACAGGGCGGGAGTCAATTTCACAGAAATGGTTGTAGGCATTCATCATAGGAAGCGGCCCGGCCCCCAGCCCTTTATGTTTCAACTTCCCATCAGAAGCAACCACAGAGACCTTCTATTAAGACGGTACACTACCCTAGCAACTGACTGGGATTTCTAACACAAGGTAAAAAGGCCACACTTTGGTGGCTAGCAAAAGAAGAGTCAGTCACACAGAATATTTTTTAACGGATTTCAGAAATAACACTTAGATGTGAGAAAAATGACCCAAACACTGAGGTCTTGGAGACTCCAATCTGTGCATCTTTCTCATTGCGGCTTTAAGGGTCAAGCCACAACTTGACCATTCTTCTACAGAGAACTACTTCCTAATATCCCAACTTTTTAAATAAAGGGTACGAGAGATGCTTACCTTGGAAGTTACCATAAGCCAAAGGTTTACCATGAGTTGATTCTACATTCCCAAGGAACATATTACATTTGGATTTATAATAACACTCTTAAAAATAAGTGGCAATCTACCTCTTGGTATCCAGGAATAGAAGGCAATGAGTTGTCTGAATTCTCCACTCTGACTTCCACCTAAACTGCTATTTCCATAAATATTTTGTAATGCATTTACCTTCCCTCATCACTCAACCTCTATCTTCACCAAGGAGACATGAATGTCTGTGTGGTTAACACGGCCAACATGCTTGACCTCTCTAGTTCCAACAGCCTTCTCCAATCCACTTTAGCCCCACCTCATTCTTCACCTTCTGCAAATTGGAAATTCCATTTTCCCATATTCCGGCACAATCTCTACCCACAGCCTTCTCCCAACTGACTCCTCTTGATCTGCTCCTCAGGCTCACATGGTACCCTAGACCTCTGCTTTTCTTATCTAATCCCTGACTTATTAATGCAGGAGGTCCAGGCTACTGTGTGAGCTCTTCAGACTCCACACAAGTCTCCCCTAAAGCCCCCATTCCTTTGCACCTTTATTTCAGCTTTGCCAAGCCTATGACACAACTGCCTTCTCCACTCCTGTACCTCACACAACTGCCGCCCTTTCAATAGGCACCCATGTCATCCCAGCAGACACCCACATCTTCAAGAGGCAAGAGGCAGAGAGAGGGGCTGACTTCTAACTTTTTACCCGCTGACCTGATATCCATCCACGCCATCCCCTGCCTCTTCTTTACCAGGAACACCACTGCTCTTGACCCTGACTCTGGCTATATTTTCCAACTTTTTGATTCTTTTTGGTTTTCTCTATCCTGTATCTCCAAATCCTTCCTTTTATCCCTAATTTTGGCACACATCAACAGCTTCTCCTATACTTTAGAAACTACCTTTAGCAGCAGGTTTTCTCTAATATCATCTAGTTGTGTTTCAGTAACACTTAAAATTCTCAGTAGTTTTGTCCTCATTCACTGCCAAAACTTCCTGACTTTCCACTGCAAAACTTCAATCTACTATAATCTAGATTCTGTTTTCCATACTCCCCCCACAAAACTGCTTACACGGAAGATACTAATAATCTTCTAATTGCCAAATCCAGTAGATATTCTCAATCTTTATCTTACTTGAAGAAGGAAGATTGTGCAGGGCTTGAACTACGGATCCAAGTGCCTAGGTTCAAGCCCTGGCTGTGCCACTTACTAGTTAGTGGTCTTGGGAAAGTTACGTTACTGTTCTGTGCCTCATTTTCTGCATCTGTAATTACAGTGTCTACCTCATTAGGTGATTGTTTTAGATTAAGGGAGTTAATACCCTACTTAGAACAATGTATGGCACACAGTATATTCTCAGGAAATATTTACCATGATTATTGTCACAACTTGACCATTCTTCCACAATTGTCCGTGTTCACAGAATCTTCATTTCTGGGTCTTTTTTTCTATTTAGGTTCAGATAACACTTTATTCTTGTGATTTTTCTCACAAATCTGGCAGTGTTCTACCATAGGTCTGTATGCATTCCTCCTCCTCCATCCTCCCTTCTAACGTAAGGGCCCTTTACTCATCTTTTCACTGCTTACACTCTCCCTTCAACAGCTGCCAATGTACTGATAACCCCCAAGCCCAGCTCTGCACCCTAGAACTTTCACCCACACATCTGTCTTATGTATCCAGTTCACAGACCTGTGTTTCTACCTAGGTGCCACATCAATGATATGAATGCAGCAGATCTGCACAGCTTCCACCTCAAATCTTTTCCCACATTGACCAATGGGCTATTCTTCCTGAAGTATGGAATATGGTCAGTGGCACTATGACCCATTCAGTCACCCAAGCTGGAAACCTCGGTATCTGGTGGGCCTCTCTTCCCTCAACCTGCATCTTCATCTTCCTTTTTATTCTACCTTATCAGAAATTCTCAAATCTTCCCATGTCATCCATCTCTGCTATTAGGATGAACCATTGGAAGCAGGCATTTTTTGGAGGTCAATAACAGCCAGACATCAGAACCACTGCTCTGATTCAAACTGCCATCAGTTTTCATCTCCAACACCTGACAGCCTCCAAGAAGGATCCTCTCTCTCCTGACTTTTACTCCTCAGTCCAAGTCTATGAATAGAATATAAGGCAAGTGATGAGACCAACAGGAAAACTTCCCTGTGACATCTTTTTGTGGTCTATGTGGTCACTCCAGGTCGGTGGACTCAGAGATCAGTGTTCTCATTGGGACTTGGAGCTCCAACAGCTATAACAAATGAACTGTGGAGAACCAATGGGAACCACTGGAGATCATGTTGATGGCTGAGAAGAGGCAGCTTTCTTTGGTGGTAGGATCTATTGTGAAACAGCATATGGCTGCCTGGGAGTTAGGTGAAGTCCTTGGGGATGACAGTCACACCAAACATAGAGCTGGTGCTGCAGCATGACAGCCACTCTGGAAGAATGGTTTACTAAGAGAGCAGGGTCCTTCAGAGAGACTCCACAAACAAAGCTATTCCAGTGGTAGGGGAAAGTTTGCAAAACTAATGTGCTAGCCATCTCAACCTGCAGAGGAGAAAGTAAACAGGCGGCCCTCCTGTAAATAATCATGTGTCTAATTATATTTTTTAATAATTCAAAGGAAACCAAAAGCAAAGTTCGCAGAAAAAAAGATAAAGCAAATAGAACATACACAGTAAATGCATTTAAAAATAAATAGCACAAAAGTATTCAAACTGTGTAATAAAAATGACAAAAGTGAGAAAAAAATGTTTCTGTTGTGACAGTAAATATAAATGGGTTAAAACAGAGAAAAGCTCTCAGACTGTCTAAATAAACAAAGTCTAAATGTATGCTATAAGATAAACACCTAAAACAGAATGACTCAATAACATTAAAAAGTACAAACTGAACAATGACGTAATAAAGAAATGCAAATAAACAGAAAGCAGTTGTCACAAAAATAATGTGAAAGCATCAAAGTAGAATTTTAACCAAAAAGAAAAATGAAAAAATCAGGTGGACTAAAATCATCATTCAGAAAAAATACATGAGTCTAGAGACTTAAGTGGAGAAAATGATGAAAATATAAATATATATATATTTTTTTAAGTTACACAATGCTTTCTTAATAACTACGGTGTCAAAGTATGCTTTGTATGTTAACAAAAATCTGAAACAAAATTAAAAGTCAAAGAGGCTGAGAATAATATTTGATAGCTATGTCAGCTAATAGAAAAACATCCTTTTTTGTATGTAAAGGACTCTTGAGAATCACCAAAAAAATAAATAAATCATTCAAATTAAAACGTACCAAATGACTTCAGCAGGTAATTCACAAAAAGATGAAGGAAAAATGGTAATAATCTATGAATGTAATTATGCAAAATGACACTGAGGATGATCAGAAGGTACCCCAGAAGATGCCTACAACCTTGGATGGAGATGGGATCACTCCATCAATATGCTTCTGATGTGGGGCTCCTAGCCACAGGAAGCACCACTAAGTAGATAGCCAGCTCCAGCTCCTAGGGACACACACCACAAGGGGACGAGGTGATGCCAGGACCCTCGGAGGTGGAAAGAGCTGCTCAGATGTCCTGAGGAGAGGGAGAATGGTTATCTTTGAGCCAAGCACACTCTCAAGAAAATTCAACCAAGGCCCTTGAGGAATGAAAGTCAGAAATGGGAGAGCCAGAGGAGTAGAGAAGTCTAAAGGTGACTCTGGTGCAGGGTTTTCCTCCTGTCTTCAGGAGGCAAGGGAATAGGGATGGGATGGGGAACTCACACAGGGCATACATATCCAGTGGCATTCCATGGCAGTACATGGAGGCCAAGACCCTGAGTACAGGGACTGGAGCAGAGGGCTCAGGCTAAGAATTCCAACTTCTCTGTAGATGCTCTTCAGCTCCAAGGCTGCCATGTTGGACCTACTGTCTACTGTACATGATCCAGCCCCATGGGCCTCATTTAGAGACATCCTGGTGCAGGTGTTGAAGACATGGAGCTCGCATGGAAAGGTTAAAACCTCTCCCATGCCTGGGGAATTGTGCAAAGCCAGGAAGCAATTCCCCAAAAGAGGATTCGAGATGAGTCAAGCTCAACCCCTCCAAAACGTGGTTTTTGTTCATACTTGGAGGACGGTATGGATATGTTAGGCCATGGTTTAAGAGACTTGGTGTTTTAACATCACTTTTTATAGTCCTCAAGCAGAAAGTCTGCATGGCAAAAATTTTAAGGGGCTGCAAACATTTTTTGGACAAGAGAAAAATGTTGGCACATCAGAACTCCTCTTCAGAAGAGAAATATATATATTTTCATGGGGAGAGATTGCTTAGGGTAAAATTAAGAGAGACACTCTTTACCTTATCAGCACAAGCAGACCTGTACAAGACAAGGAGGAAGATTCAATGTAGTGGAGAAAAGTGGGATGGATAAGGGAGCAGATGGAATAGAATTCCAAGGTGGTAGAGTGGGCCCCCTCACTGTGATAAACTCCACTGAATTGTGAGTGAAGGTACTAAACCTACAGAGTGCCAGATGCCAAGGATTTCCTGAGAAAGAGACTGAGT